GTGACTTCTCTATTTCTCTGATGTTGGCATTTGGAGGGTATCTCCCTAAAATCAAGAGAAACTTTAATGTTTACTAACAGTAGCAATATTGCACTTATAAAATCAAGGTAAATTAAGCTTAAATCAAACTAAAAACTAAATAGAGCTGAAGAAAAAGGAAACATGCTGTATATATCACACTTCTGTCATACATAAAGATGCATTGTGTATATATATAAACTTATAAATGTAGAAAATAGGGTAACTCTTTGTTATGTGGTCTATTAACTTCCTGTGTCATGGATTGTGAATAGTGGACAAAGAAGTCAATGTGTAGATACTCTTGCCTCTTTGTAATAGTTACAAATAAACCACTGGGCAAAAAATTCAAAGAAGAGTTTTATTTTCCTTTGCCATGCAAGTGAAAAATTATCAGGTTTTATATCAGGTTATTTTGATCCACTTTAAGTCTTCGTAATAATATAATATTACTGCCTTTTACCTGTTAGTGAAGTTTACTTCCAGGTCACACTAAGAAGCTTCCCAAAAAGCTCCTGTGATTCTCAGCTCTGTTCAGTAGAATCACCTAAGTAGCTTAAATACACATACTCCAGATTCTTGGGAAAAAGAAACACAGGTAAAAGCTGACAAGAGATAAAATGAAATACTAAAAAAATAATAACCCCCCTCAAAAGAAAGAATTATAGTCTTACAAGTTCACATTATCTATAAAGTGGTATAATGCCAATTCAAGGTGGGTACTGGCAAGATAAGGATGCATATTACAATACTTACAGTATTCACTAGGAAAAAGAAAGAGGGAATGAAAAACCGAGAAAAGAGAGAACAGAGCAAGTAACAAAATGGTAGACTTATTAGGAATTACAGTAAATAAAAATGAGCTTAACATTCCAAATTAAAAGATTATCAAATTGGATAAAAAGCAGGACCTCACCATATGTTATTTATAAACATCTCACAATGGCACATGTAGGTTGATATAATGACAGATCGGTTAAAATAAAAGGGTGGGAAGAGATAGACCATGAAAACACTAGGCATTAGAAAACTGGTAGGGTTATAACAATATAGCAAAGAAAGTAGACTTCAAGACAAAAAAAATTACCAGAAACAAAGAGAAACATTTAATGAATATAACAGGCTAAATTCCTCTAGAAGACATAATAAACCAAAATCTGAAGGTGCGAAATAACAAAGCTTAAAAATACACAAAACAAAGTTAGCAGAAATTTTTTAATACTACATTTTTATTTTATAAAGAAAGGTTTTAGACCAATGAGCTAGAAGCTAGAAAAAGAAAGCAAATTAATCCCCAACTAGACAGAACTGAGAAAATAATAAAGACAAGAAATTAAATCAATAACAGAAAATGGACAAAAATGTAAGAAAAGCATTCAAGACAAAAGTATATTATTTGAAAAGATTAACAAAACTGATAAACGTCTAGAAAAATTGACCCCTAAAAAAAGCCAAAAACTATATTAGGAATAAAAAGGGTCATCACTACAGCTCCTACAGATACTAATATTATAATAAGGAAATATTATTAACAACTTAGATACATTTTTACAAATTAGAGGAAAAGGACAAATTCCTGGAAAAACACAAATTAGCAAAACTGACAGAGAAGAACTTGGTAATCTTAAGATTCATATTTGTTAAGGAAGTTAACAGAGTAATCAAAAATCTTCCTATTAAAAAAAAAATGTCCAGATGGCTTCTTAGTAAATACTACCAAATCTAAGAAATAATACCAATCTTGTAAAAACTCCTTGAGAAAGTATAGGAGAAGGGACCACTTTCCTAGTCACATTATGAGGACAGTTATAACCCTTATACCAAAACCTAATAAGGACATCTCAAAGGAAAGAAAATTATATTCTTCACAAGTACAAACACAAAAATCCTTATACAAACATTACCAATTTGTATCCAATAATATAAAAATATTATAATACATTATGACCAAGGATTTAAAAGAATGCAAATCAGCCTCACATTTGAAAAGTAATCAATGTAACTCATTTCATTAATAGAATGAAGAAATCTCACACGATCAGCTAAATAGAGGGAAAAATTAAGTCAAAATCCAACATCCATGATAAAAATATTCAGCCAACTAGGAGTAGAAGGGAACTTCCTCGGCCTATTAAAAGGCACCCACAGGGCACCTGAGTGGCTCAATCGTTAAGCATCTGCCTTCGGCTCAGGTCATGATCCCAGAGTCCTGGGATCGAGCCCCGCGTCAGGTTCCCTGGACCACAGGGAGCCTGCTTCTCCCTCTCCCACTCCCCCTGCTTGTGTTCCCTCTCTCGCTGTGTCTCTCTCTGTCAAAAAATAAATAAAAAATCTTTAAAAAAAAAGGCACCCACAAAAATCCTGCAGTGAATTTTCACACTTAATGAGGATATACTGAATGCTTATCCTCTAAAATCTGGAACAAAATAAGGATGTTCACTCTCACCATCGCTATTCAATATTGTAACGGAGGTCTTAGTCCAACAAGACAAAAAAAAGAATTTTTAAAAAGCATAAATATTGGCAAGGAAGAAGTAAAACTCTCTTCATATACATGTGATGTGATTATATAGAGAGAAAATATACTAGATCTAATAAGTGAATTTATGAGAATATAGGAGGTCAATATAAAAGATTCAATTACATTTCTATATGACGTTAAGAAACAATTGGTAATTAAATTTTAAAAAGCAATTCCATTTGAATAAATTTAGTAAAAAATGTGAAAGATCCCTACACTGTAAACTATAAAATATGTGAAGAAAAATTAAATTCCTGTATAAATAGAGAGATAAACCACCTTCCTGGATTTGAAAGACCCAGCACTGCCAAATTGCTTAATAGATTCCATGCAATCACAAATACAATCAGGCTTTTTGTTTAAAAAAAACAAACAAACCTGATAAGCAGGTCCAAAATTTTATATGGAAATGCAAAGTGCCCAGACAAGTTAAAACAGCCAAGACAATTTTGAATAAGAGCAGACTTGATGACTCATACAACCTGATTTTTTGGTAACAGTTTTGAGATACTTAAAATATCTCAGTTTATCGAGTAACCAGAACTCTCATGCATTGCTCAAATGAGTATAAAATGGTACTACCTCTCTGAAAAATGGCAGTTTCTATAAAGTTAGACATACACACACACCCAGTTACCCAGCAAGTCCTCTCTAGGTATTTACCCTAAGAAAAATGACAGACTTGTACAAGAATATTCACTGTGTCTTTTTCACTGCAGCTAAAAGACCAGACACAACCCAAATGTTCAGCCCTGGGAGAATGGATTAAAAAATTGTGGTTAATTCAGTGTTACTACTCAGCACTAAAAATTAACAAAGTATCAACGACATTGAGGAACATTAAGACATTATGTTGAATGAAATGAAGTGGACAAAAAATACATACTGTGTGTTCCCATTTACATGAAGTTTAAGAATTGACCAAAGTAAGCTATGGGGCTAGAACTCACAAAGGTAGTTGTCCCTGCTGTGGCGGTGAGGTGAAGGCCAACTGCAAAGATGGAAATGTTTTATATTTGGTTTGAGTGTTCGTTACACAAGGGTATATGCTTGTCATTGAACTATACCCTAAAATCTGTACATTTTACCATATGCTAATTCAATCTCAAAAAGCATTCAAAAATATTTTAAGTAAGAGGTTGGATATGAGTGATTCACATTTTCTTCTGGGTGGCTTAGATAGATTGATCTTTGTGTTACCTGAAGCTCAGTCTGCAGGATTTGCTGTTTGAGAACCCTGGAATCCCAGGCTTGAGTGCAGAGGTGCGCCCAACCAAGCCCCTCCCAGCCAGGCCAGCGTAGCCAGGCAGCCCCACAAGCCAGCAGCACACCAGACTGGCAGGGCCTCCCTGATTACCTTCCTTATATCAACCCTGACACCAGCTTAGCCATCGGTGCAGTAAATTTCAGACATATGCCAATTCTAAATTACTCAGAAATTAATACCCTATGAAGCAGGATTGCATAGGCAGGAAAGAACACAGGATAAGCGTCCAAAGTTTGGAGTTATATTCCCAGTGCATCTATTCCCAGGCCCTGTGATCTTAGGCAAATCCCCAATTTTCTGATCGTTAGAAGATGGGATGACACACAACTGCCCAGGCAACTTCCCCAGGCTTTGAGGAAGAATAGCTGAGAGGCATAGATGAAACCTGCTATAAAATGCAAAGCTCCATGTGAATTTATAGTACTATTGCCGCTATTTTATTCAATAGCCTGACTCCTACCTCCCTCCCTACACATGCATACACTGTGACCTATTTTTGAAAACTTTAAATTAAAACCTTTGTCAGGGATGCCTGGGTGGCTCAGTCGTTAAGCGTCTGCCTTCGGATCAGGTCATGATCTCAGTGTCCTGGGATCGAGCCCCGCATCGGGCTCCCTGCTCAGCGGGAAGCCTGCTTCTCCCTCTCCCACTCCCCCTGCTTATGTTCCCTCTCTCGCTTTGTCTCTCTCTGTCAAATAAATAAAATCTTTAAAACCTTTGTCAGAGGTAGAGAAATTTTAACAGCCAAGTCTGTTTCTTTCAGAAACTGTGGAGAAATCCTGGTTCAAGGCTTCTCAAATTCTCTGTGGGTCCCATCTACCTGGATATAGATTCGGACATCACTTTTAACCTGAGCATCAGATTTTTTTAAAATTTTATTTATTTATTTATTTGAGAGAAAGAGAGCACATGAAAGGGGGGAGGGTCAGAGGGAGAAACAGACTCCCTGCTGAGGAGGGAGCCCGCTGTGCGGGACTTGATCCCGGGACTCCAGGATCATGACCTGAGCCGAAGGCAGTCGCTTAACCAACTGAGCCACCCAGGCACCCCATGAGCATCAGATTTTAACTACAGACCCTTTCCTGCTCCCAGTTCGAAGACAAAGCCCCTGCCTGCTTCTCTCCTCGCTCCTTATTAATGCCAAGCAGGACCTCACATTCCTCTTTAGAAAGCAAACCCTGAGAGCCAACTCACCTGCTGGCAAAGGTCAAGGCCAAAGCTGTGGCCAGGTGAGGCATCAGCCGAAGGGTCTGTGTTTGGTGCTCAATGATCTTGACTTCTTCCTTGGCTTTAGGCCCAAACTGCCTCCGGCTAGAGAGAATTAAGCAGACACAATTTTTACCAAAATTCAATAGGCAACTTCGTTTCCTGAGTTAAACATGTCAAGCAGCCATTTGCCTTTCAAATGCTTCAGGATACAGAATGCCTGAGTCTCCTAAAATGTGGTTAAGATAATTAGATATCAAAAGTTTCTTAGGACAGTCCAACAAAAAGCTTTTCAGCTCTTCTGGAAATTAATCTTCCCACCATGGAATATTTTTAAAGCAGCCTATCTATTTAATTAACACACAGAGTAATTTTTACTCCTTAACATTTACATGGCATTTTATGTTCCAAGTGCCCCATGATCATTAATTATTCAGCTTTTAAGTTTGTGACATAATTAATAGGACAGGAGCAATATCCTAGGACATATTTCAAAAGGACATTCTCAACAAGGAGGCAACGCTAACCCCGGTGTTCCTGTCAGATTCACAGGCAGGTCATTACTTTCAGCCCACCTAAATCCCCCCTGCAGTTCCGCACAGAAAGGTGTTCACATCCTGCCTTAAATCCTGTGCTTTAGGAACAGCGGCTGCATTTCGCTCTGAGGCAATGGTACCGGGGCGAATGGAGGCCTTCCTCAGAGCGGTTCATGAAGTGGCTGGGATTATCCCCACAGGCAACACCCATGGACTAATCTCCCGGAGTCCCTTGGCAGCAGACTGCAAAGGGCCGGGCCTGTCGAAAGTCACCCCCTCCCCAACCCTGTGAGGCTCCACAGTGCTGGGCTTGGCAGCCTCCTATCTTTGAACGTCTCTGACCTTCATACTGATTTTTGAAAGAAGGTCTCACACACACATGCCTGCAAACACACACACACACACAAGTGCATGCACATACGGGTACACACGGTACTCTGTTATCCAACAGGCAGAGCAGGCTCGTGCTCCAGGCACCAGTGAAGTGAGGACATCTATCTATCCCTCACAAGGAGAGATGGGAAACAGCAATGCTTAAGAATGTTTATATTTGATAGACTTTCTTAAACATAACTTGATGCCTTAATATTGTCTTTATTTGTTCTTAAAAGAAGGACACCGTGATCTTCTTAGTGCATACAATGTCTAGAATTCATAGTCCCTGTTGTGTGGGTGGGAGGGGGTGAAGACACGCATGACCAGAGGCACACCCACGGGCGGCTGCTTTCGAGCTTTGTGAGCACAGGCTTGTCGTCTATGCGCACAGACTTCCCCAGGCACAGTCTAACCACCCCGCAGTTGGTTGTTCCAAGTGCCCCGTGATCATTAATTATTCAGTTTTTAAGTCTGTGACATAATTAATAGGACGGGAGCAATATCCCAGGACATATTTCAAAAGGACATTCTCAACAAGGAGGCAACGCTAACCCTGGTGCTCCTGTCGGATTCACAGGCAGGTCATTGCTTTCAGCCCACCTAAATCCCCCCTGCAGTTCCGCACAGAAAGGTGTCCACATCCTGCCTGAGGATCGCTCCCCAGCTTGGCCCTCGGTCCGTCCCAGCGTTCTCCAACGCCAGTGAGGCACGGCGCCCAATGAGGCCCGACAGCCTGTAGGGAAACCTCTCAGCTTCTGCTGCAGCATGCGAAACCAGTGAGAAAACACAGATCCAACAATGGCATCATCCCGACATCAGGTCATTTAAAATTCCATTTGTCAGCACTCTCTTAACTTCTATTTGTGAATGTTATGATTACCCTGTAGCTTTCTCTATGCTCGCTGTGGCTAAAATTTTGTGTACTGAAGGGGTTCACTGCCACACGAGACTCACTCCTCTGGGAGACATATACACACCTGCTCTGTGTCAGCACCCGTTTAGGCTCTGGGTGCCCACCAGGGTCAAGGAGGCCAAGGCCCAGCTATTGAGCTCACAGCCCTGGACAGAGAGAGAACTAGACCAGGTGACATGGCAGGAAAGCCCTGCATGTACCGCCCCCACTCACCCCACTCTGTCAATCACCAGTATTTCCTAATGTGCTCCTAGAAGGAACTTCACCCACACAGCACCAGCTATGGCCTCACCATACCTGGTCACAACACCTTTTAGTTTTGGTTTTGCTATAAAGTAATTACAATAGCAATACTGCTTTAGACAGCATCCCATCAAATTTTCTGTTTTTATGTGTGAAGTGTTTTGCCTTGGCCCCATACACAGCATGAATGAATGAATGAATGAATTTTCCCAATGAGGAAATGTAGATGAAGCACAACAGAGTGGCTCACTTAAGACCTCAGGGAAAGTCTTCGGATGCCAGATCTGACCCCTGACCTGGTGTGCCTCAGTTTCCCAATTCAGGCACACCTTCTAACTGTCCCATTTCCTTTTTGACCCTCACGGTTCAATTAGGATGACAGGTGCAGAGCAGAAAGAGGCCACCAGGAGTCCATGTGGCAGGGCTCAGGCCTTTTCTTGTGCTGTTAGGGAGGAAGGAGTTTCGCTAGTGAGTTGCTGCAGACTTATCAGGCAATTTCACAAAACTCGGGAGATTACACAAGACTCTGAATTTCCAGCTTTTCTTGAAAACTAGGAAGATCAGGGTGCCTGGGTGGCTCAGTTGGTTAAGCGACTGCCTTCGGCTCAGGTCATGATCCTGGAGTCCCGGGATCGAGTCCCACATTGTGCTCCCTGCTCGGCGGGGAGTCTGCTTCTCCCTCTGACCCTCTTCCCTCTCGTGCTCTCTATCTCTCATTCTCTCTCTCTCGAATAAATAAATAAAATCTTAAAAAAAAAAAAGAAAACTAGGAAGATCTGACAATTCTGGACCCCATTCCCATGATCTGATCTGCTGGAGCTCAGAAGCTGCTGACTCCTCCGTTTGGGGCATGGCTGTTCCCCAGGGTCCCCAGAGCCCTTTCTGCTTGCTGACATTACCTGCAGGCCTGGGAGGCACTGAGTCTTCAACCCCTGCCACAGGGGATTTCTTTTTTTCATCCACAATAAATTTACATCAGCATCCTAACCTGTTAATTAAGTTCTGGGATTATGATATACGGCCAGGTATAGGCATTCTCTATGAGTCTATGAATTCATCAACAGAACTAGAGAGCAAAAACAGAACAGCTCTGGCCAGCTCATACAGCATGAAATCCAAATGCTTCAGCTTGGCATTCAAGAGCCTACTTTGGCCTTACTTGAGTGCCCCAACTGTTTTTCCTGCTAAGCCCCTTCAGACACTTCCCGTCCCGGGCCTCTGTCCAGGCAAGGCACTCAGCCAACCTCACTTGGCTGCCACACATCATATGTTTGGTGGCTTAGCCAAATGTCCTCTCCTCCCATTGACACTTTCTCCCATTCGTGACATGCCCCTTCAAAAACCAAACCAAACCAATCAAAGCAGGAAGCAACTTCTCAGAATGCCCTGAGCATTCCACCTGTTATTCCTCCCCCATGGGAGTACTTCTACCTTTCATGCTGGTGTCATGTGCAACCTGTATTGACCACATGTTTTGATGCGTTGCTTCTGGAGCCTTCTTTACTGACCCTTGAGGGACTGGCCCTCCCAAGGCTAGCCAATGCCTACAGAGAGCAAAGGACTACTCTGCCCATCCATCTTTCACATGCAAACTCACCAATCCAGAGCCCACATCCCCAACCACCTTTTATCTTTTACTCTGGGCCATTATCCCCCAGGACTAGGTACCAGACAACAAGGGACAGCCCTTATGCTTCAGAACCTTCTGAAATTATTCAAACTAGCCAATCCTAAACCTGCTTAGCCTGCTTGCCCTTCCTTTCCTATCCTTTCTCACAGAAACCACAATAAAGGCTCTTGTCCATGTTTCCCCCTTGCTCCTGGCTCTTAACCATCCCTGGTGCTTCCCCCTATGGCCTTGCATGGCATAGCACAGCCCCTCCTCTTGGGAACTGTAACAAGCTATCTTTTCAATGGCGGTCATCCCCTGATCTGTTGGCCTCACCATACCTGAACAATATTAAAACCTACTGGGCCAGCCTATTCTGTCTTGATGTGCCCCAGCTTGGCCGGGTGTGTGTACTCAGGAAAGAGAAGTCAAGATGACAGATGGAATGTCCCGCTATCTCCCAGCAGTTCCAACCCAACTTCTCCACCCACCCACCCTTCCATGTCTCCTTTGAATGTTTACTTAGAGATGTCCCAATAAAAGGCCAATGGTCAGACACTGGAGTGCTGAGTGGGAGCGAGCAGGCAGTTAGGACAGGGATGGAAGAAGCAAAAAAGATGAGGGATCCACCTCGTCCTTATGCCCACCAGCCCACCCCACTGCTGGTTTGTTTTGTTGTTTTTTGTTTTTGTTTTTGTTTTTGTGCCAGGAACTAGAAGAAATGAGTGCACAGAAGGCACACAGCACCACCCACCTTACCTCCCTCTCTCTGGCCCAAGACAGTGACAGTCCCCAAAGCTTTGAGCTAAGGTTTCCCTCTGGCTCCTCACCCATCAGATGTGTTCTTTGGCTTCCCTAGGGCAAAGTGATACTAAAGTCTAGTGACCCTTCTCTTGCCCAGAGATGCAGCCAGAGGTCATCCCTGTGACTGCCACTATCAGCCTCCAAACTGGCAGCCTGGCTCCAACAGAGACAGCAGAGAGAGGGGGCCTCAAGTCCCTGTGCTCTGAGAGGGCATGGCCAGTGCAGGTACCCTGCCCTGCTGCTGTGTGGTCACCCTCCTGTTTATGCTCTCAGACGCAGCAATGGCACTGAGGGTTGTGATGGTCCAGGCCCGACTTCCGGTTGCCAGCGTCCTGGCAGACTGCCCTGAACACAGCTCACAGGGCTGTAATCCCTGCAGCTGGCCAGCAATTACTGCCTGCCAGACCTTTTTATTGCTCCAGTTTATGATCTGTATGGGCACAATATTCTTCCTGTCCTTTTCCACCGCTAGGTTACTATTTTTCTTTAAAAGCACATGTAAAGGCTGTATTTTTCTCTGTAATCATAATTTTTATTTCAGTGCCGAAAAAGCCTCAAAGTCACTGAGCTCAAATTTTTCATGCTCTTTAAAAAACAAAAAGTGATGCATGTGCACACAGCAACA